GAATACACTTGTGTCATTGACACCCAGATCAAGACACAGAACCCCAGAAGTCCCCTTTGCCTCATTCCACTCACTATTGTCTTCTTAAGGAAACCACTGTCCTGATGTCTCACATTATATGTATATTTATTTTGTTGTTGTTTATGAACTTTATAAATAGAATAATACAGTTGGTTCTTTTATGTCTACCTTCTTTGACTCAACTTTTGCTATGAAATTTATGTATATGATTGCATGTAGTGGCAGTTCAGTAATTTTCATTGATTGCTTTATAAAATTCAATTTTTTTAGCCAGGCCATGGTTGATGAATATATGAATAGTTTCTAATTTGTTGCCAGTTACAAATGGTGCATTATGAATATTCCTCTGTACATCCTCTTTTGGTGGTTGTAAGTACTCATTTCTGTTGAGTATTTCACCTAAAACTGAAATTAATGGGACATAGGCTATGCATGTGTTCAGCTCTAGTAGATACTGCCAAAAGTCTTGGAAGGATTATCTTATTTGTTTTGCTACCCTAGTGTCATACTTGTGTAATTGGTGGTCATTACATTGCTCTGAGGCTATTCTTCACCAGAAAACATCCTTTGATGAGCGTGGAAGCTTTAATCACGATCAGACATGAAAACAGGATATGATGATTGAGAAAGAGCTTACTTGTTTTCAGGAGGGAGGCTTTGCTGGTAGCAAGTTTGAGCTGCTATTCCTTGTTTCCCAAATATGTAAGATAAGAAGTCCCTGCCACCAAATGGAGGACAAAGACAGAGGAGTTTGGGGACCTAAACAGAAATTGAACAGTGAGACACGATCAGCAAAGACCCTGGAAATTATATAAAACAGACTGGATAGATGTAATGGTCAAAGTGAGAGTTACTGGTCTTGAAGTTAGATAGTTAAATGCGTACAACTGACAGCTTGCTTATTGTCACAAGTGCGATATGTAAGAACAAAAAGGGAGGTGGGGCCAGTCAAGTTGCTGACCTTTGCCCATGGATCCTGCTGGATTTTCCTCCGAGGACCAAAAGAACACAGGTCTCTGATGGAAACCTGTTCCTTTGAAGGGGTGGGGAACCTGCAGTCTCAAGGCCACATGTGGCCCTCCAGATCCCCAAGTGTGACCCCTTGACCGAATCCAAACTTCATAGAACAAATTCCTTTATTACAAGGATTTGTTCTGTAAAATGTGGATTCAGTCAAAAGGCTGCACTCACGGATCCAGAACACCATATGTGGCCCCAAGGCCGCAGGTTCTCTGCCCCATCAGCTCCTTTAATGAGCCACTGTATTTCCTTGTCTCCTGATTTACTTTCCCATCTTGGCCTCTACCCTACCCCTTTCAAAAGACTAGTAAATTCCCTTAATTTAATAAACATTATTGATGTTCTATGTGCCAAGAGATACATGTCCTGGCTTCATGTTGCTTAGACATACCTTAGCTTTGACTAAAGGAAAAGGGGTGGTGTGCAAATCACTATCTTTGGGAGTGGGAGCTAGTCAAAGTAGCAAACAGACCCTCAATGCCTTGGGGAACTTGGTTTTCATAGCCCTGGACCTGGATTCTTGGGAATTGAGTTCTAGACTCCTGTTGTGGCTAGCACCCTAAAGACAAAAAAGAACAAGAAAGGCTGCAACCCCACAGAATACAACTTCCCAAGCACTTTCTCCTTTGATTTTGTTAATTGTCCCCTAAGGAAGACAGCACCACAGGTGGGGGGTCAATGTTTATGACAACTTTCCCAAGAGAGAAAAAGATTGCTGCAGCCTTGCTCTTTGGCTGGTAGAGTCCCTCAGTCAGAACTGAGTGGACCTGGGGGTGAGGCTATGATTCATGTGCCCTGATATAGGATCTCAGATGTAACTGCTCCTCTTTCAACTAATCAAGAATCTGGAGCTCAGAGTGAGAAAAATAAGGTGAGCAGCATTATTTTAACAGAAGTTTTATTAAACAAGCCATTTCTGGCTATTACATTTTACATTTTCAAAATTTAAAATTCACTAATATGTTGCAATTTAAAAAATGGTAAAAGTTTAAAATAATTAGGTCAGGGGATGGAATTTTAAGTCGAAGGAAGAAAGCAATCATAGGCCAATTGTAGATTTTGAGAAGAGAAATGACACGTGAAAAATGCTATGAAGTTTCTATATAGGGTTTACTGATATGCCTGGAGCATTTTGGTTAGTTAGAATCATGGGATCAGAAGACGCTCACCTATCCAACTCCATTATTTTATAGGAAATTATAACACCATTATAATTAAACCATTATCATTAAAATTATTCACTACCCTGAGTCAGAAGACTGGATACCGTTAGGGGATGTGTCTTTCTTAGAGGAGCGCTGACCAGTGCTCCCAGACCCACCCGACAAAGCAGAGGCGAGCGGCCCAGCAAGCGGAGGGGCGCCCTGACGCCCAGTCACACGAGGATTCTGCGGTGTTCCGCTGACCCCGCTGCACCCGGCGGGGTTGGGTTCTCGCGCAACCAGGTGCCGGCGAGGTTATTTATGACTGCGTAGTTGCGGGGCTAAAAAGCAGCCGGGATCCGCCGCATCCTCCTGGCTCCCCCTGGGCCAAGCCCCCCGGTCCCCTCAGCTGAAGGCCGCTCTGGGGGGACCCCAGGCCGTGCGCTCGCAGGCGTCGCTCTCGGACAGCGGAGAACCGCTCCGCACCGACTTCTCGCGAGGTTTCGGCTCCCCCGTTCGCCCCCCCTTCCGCCCCCTCCCAGCTCCCGTGCGGGCGGCTGCCGCTATGGCTGCGCTGCGGAGGCTCTTGTGGCCGCCGCCTCGGCTGCCGCCTCCGCTGTCGGCTCACCAGCCCTTCCTAGGGCCGTGGGGGCGGCCTGCGGGGACAGCCCCGGGCCTTCCTGGGCGGCCCTTCTCCTGCCGGGAGGATGAGGAGCGAGCTGTGGCCGAGGCGGCTTGGAGGCGGCGGCGGCGCTGGGGCGAGCTGAGCATCGCGGCGGCGGCCGGCGGGGGTCTCGTCGGCCTCGTGTGCTACCAGCTGTACGGGGAGCCCAGGACCGACCCACCTGCGCCCGGACGTCCCTCAGAGAGCGCGGCCGCAGAGCCCGAGGAGCCACCCCGCGGCCGGGGGCTGCTTCCCATCCCGGTCGCGGCTGCCAAGGAGACCGTAAGTGCGTGAGCGCGTGCGCGCACCGGGGCCGGCCCGCAGGTGACGCCCCCGGGTTGGGCGGCCAGGTTCTCCACCTGCGCCGGGGAAGGCTGGGGTGACAACCGCGCGGGGTGCGTCCGAGACTGTGGGCCACCGTGGCGCTGGACACTGGAGGTTGTGGAGACACTGAGCCCTGAGGCCGCGGGTGGGGAACCTCCTGTGAGCGAGACGGAGACCTCTTAGGCCGGACGGCCTGGGGTCCTCTCACCCGCGTGTTGGGAGGACATAGGTGATGCTGTCATTGAAACAGCAGGACTTTAAAGGTTGCTACAGCTGCTATCAACCTAAATCCCAAACCAACACTCCTCCCCTTAAAAAAAAAAAAAAAAACTCAGAAATGAAGGTCATGACCGGCAGAAAGTGGACGGCTGCCTGTGTGGGAAAAGGGAACCTCCAGCCCTGGCAGCGCGGCAGCAAATGACCCGGGAGGTCCAGTGCCATAGGATGAGTTTTGAAGCAGTGATCTGAGGTCTCAAAGCCATCACATTAGCGCATGGAAATTTGTTAGCCCCAGGGGCTAATGCATGCTAAATGTGTATGGCCTCCTTATAGGTCAGAAGGAATGGGGATGTTACTAGACTGGGAATGAAAAAAGCATTAATTCAAAAAAGAGTATACGTATTTCTCTTCCCCCCACCACCACTAAAGCCAGAATCCCTTAAGTAGATACAATAAAACAGAAGATGGATAGGACAGCAAAAGAAGGAGACTGAATGAAGCTAACTCTTGCAGAGGAACATGATGTGAAAATGAACAAGTGGTCACATTATGTAGTTAATACAAGGTATGGATAAATGCAAGGCAAGGATAAATAAAGGAGCGTGTTTTTGTCACATCAGTCTTTTTAATAGTCATAAATGACTAGGAAAATAGGGAAATTTTCCTTGTAAGACTGGAAGAGTGCGAAAGGCTTAGATGAAAATAATTTAGAAAAGAGACAGCTATGCTGTTTTAAGTTCAATGAAATTTATATAGCCTTCATTCTTTGCCTAAATATACAGTGGTCATCTGATGTAAGCACATCAGTTCTTTTGGTGGAGGTTGTCAATGCATTTAGTTTAGGGACTCTACTTTAGGGACTATAGGGCAGCAGATCACAAGCACACAACGTAAAGAACTTTTATTCAATGAATATTTGAAATACTAGGAAATGCCTTCAATCTTCATTACCCCTCCCACTATCCCCCGACTCCCATACACATATACTTTTGTGGCTTCAGAAGCGGAATAGCATTAGACTTGTGCCCTGATTAACCAAGTCAGAACTTTGAATCAACTGCAGTTGATCTGGGAACTGATTAGTAAGGTAGGGAACATTCAAATAGTATTTTCTCTTCTTTCTTTCTTCCTTTCTTTTTTTTTTTTTCTTAAGTAAATGTTACTTTTAAAGTTGAAAGACAATATTAGCAGTTTTTAAAAGACTACACTCAGAAAGCTAGAACTCTGGCTTCACCACCTGCTAGTTGTATCATTATGGACAATTTACTTAACCTGTCATTGCCTGTTTCCTCATCTGTAAAATGAGGCTAATAGTCGGGTAGCGTGTTATGAGAGTTAAATGAGTTAATACAGTATATTTAAAACAGAATGATACCTCTGGCGAGTAGTGAACATTCACTATATCGATTTTACTTTTTATTTTATTCATTTATTTACTTGTCTATTTTTATTTACTTACATTATTATTGCTTAGCGTTTATGAAAATTCCTGTGCATTGTTTTAGAAGTCAAATAATACTTAGTACTGTGTCTTACCCTTCCCAAGTCTCTAGTACTATATTCTGATTGTCATGCCTTTTGTATGTGACCTTTTTTCTCTTTCTGAAAAAATTTATAATCTCTTTATCCCTGGTGTGTGAAATTTTTATAGTAATTTGCTTTGATGTGGACATTTTTTCATTGATTGTGCTAGGTACTAAAGGGCCCTTTCAGTGTGGACATTCATGTCTAACAGTTCTGTGTAATTTTCTTGTATTATTTCTTTCACATTTTCTCTTCTCCCTTTTTCTATTACTTTTTTCTGGAACTACTGTTAATATCATGTTAAAACTCCTGATAGATCCCAGTCTAATTCTAATCTTTATTATATACCAGTTTTAAAAATCTTTTTGTCTGTTTATTTATTTTTATGGGAGGTATCTTGGACTTTATCTTCCAACCTTCCTTCTGAATTTTGTATTTCAGCTATCCTAGTTTTTTAATTGAAAGAACTATTTTGTGTTCTCAGATGTTCAAGTGTTACATGCATTCTGTTTGGTTTCATGGCTGCTGTATTTTCTCTTTTCGTTGTGAGGATATAAATTACAGTTTTGCTTTATCTTCTGCCCTGTGCATTGCTTTGCTTCTTCCAGGTTCTTTTTTTATTTCTGTTTGAATTTATAAGCTCTTACCTTCATTTTGGTGGTTTTCCTCACATATGTGTGGTTGTTGCCTATCTATTATTTCAGAACCACTTAGAAGGTCTTTGTATATCAACGTGGCTGTTCATTTGGTCATCTGGGCTTATTAGAGTAGCATCTAAATGTCAGTATTTTATAGCTCTTTTTCCCTGGTACTGCTGAGTTTCTCCAAAGAATAGGAGAAGTGGAAAGGGCAGTAATCTGAATGTAGGCACGTGTGCACATATGTGGAAGAACATGTGTGTTGAGTGAGTATAATGATGTACGTAAGAGTGAACTATCTAATCCTCTGTTTTCAGCCCCTCCACTTACTCTGCCTCCACAGCTCCTTGTGTTCCCAAGGCCTTGTCTTTACAGCAAATAGCTTCCTCCATTTGGCCGTCTTCTCCACAGCACCCAGGTAGTGCCTCTGCTCCCTTAAGTGAATTATCACTCCTCCATCTCTTCAATTTTATAACAATTTGACAAATTCTCTGGAGTGCTTTAGTCTCCTCTCCCTTTCTCTTTTTCAGTTCTTGTGTATTTATACCTTTTTATGTTCCTTTATTGTGATTTTAGTGTGGTTAGGGGAGGAAGAGGTTGAAAAAGACTCTTAAGGTCAATCTCCATTTTTCAGAAATATTATTATTATTATTATTTTGAGACAGAGTCTTGCTCTGTTGCCCTGGGTAGAGTGCAGTGGCATCATCATAGCTCACTACATCCTCAGACTCCTGGGCTCAAGTGATCCTCCTGCCTCAGCCTTCTCAGTAGCCATGCCTGGCTAATTTTTCTATTTTTAGTAGAGACAGGGTTTTACTCTTGTTCAGGCTGATCTCGAACTCCTGAGCTCAAGCAGTCCTCTCACTTTGGCCTCCCAGAGTGCTAGAATTGTAGGCATGAGCCACCATGCCTGGCCCAGAAATACTATTTTAAACCTATGCTACTGCTTCGTTTATTATTTTTGATTTTCCTGAAGTGATAGAAATGATTCATTTTGATGTTTAAAACTAAAGCTAAGAAATTTTGATTTATAAGGCATCTTTTAAGCATTATGTTATGCTGAGCAAAAGTCTGTCATATAAATTAATCTGTACATGTTTTAAGAATAATTTAATTGGTAAGAGTGAACAGAAATGACTTACAGAAATGCAGTTCTATTACCATAGCCTTGAATATTTTTGTTTTAAAGACATTGACTCTAAACTTCTCTAGAAGGCGTGACTCCACAGATGTGTTAAAATATCCCTGCTTGTCTATACTGTCAGTTAATGACTTTATTGTAATCATTTGTGCATTGTTTGTCTTCTCTGCTTGTCTTGGCCATTTAAGGAGAGGCCCTGTGTTGGTCATGGTCACCTTTATATCTTCTTGCCTAGTATGGGGCTTAGCCCAGTAAGCACAATAAAGATGTGTTGAATAAGTAAGTCCATGCTAAATATTTGCATAGGACATATACACTGTGAGAATCAATAGTTTAATATTTTGTTCAGCTAAAGTAGTTATTTAAAGCATTAGAATTGGGAAGACTTCAGTCAAGGTCAAAATTCCAGGCTTTGGGAGATCAAATCATGTGAACTGTATTTACTTTAATTATGCAAGTTTGCCTTGCCAAAATTTTTCAGTCAACCATGGCCTTTGAACTTTATTAATATTATGAAGAGATGTTGACAGGATTCTATTTAGAACCTTACAGTTTTAGCCTTAAAGCACTATTTTTATTAGTGGAAAAAAATTTTGTTCTAGAACTGCCTTTTTTTTTAAGGCCCAGAATAAAAAAATCTGTTAAATTTTTTTAACATACTTCAGTATTTTGCTTATTATATAGAACACATGATCCATTGCATTATTTGTTCATTTTAAGATGCTTCAACTTAATTTAGTTGTACCCCAGAGT